TTTATTTTACTCATATCTTTCACGCTTGCTGAAGAATAAACTTAGACGGGAGTAGGCTTACACCAATTTTGAAATCTGAATTATACATAGAGCGGAGGAGGGGGAAGAAAAACTTACACCACTAGAAAAGGTAATTTGTTCGACGGAATTTTTTTGTTCTAAATGGATATAATTTTATCAATTGCATTATCCACGGGTTGTAAGCCGTTGCAAGACACTTTTTAAATGGAAATATCAAAAAATGACAGGCATAAAATAATAAATATTTAACGAATTCCGTCAAAATTTTAATTAAAATATCCGTCAAAATTTTCAATAAACTTTTTTTGACAGAATAATATTGCGTCGAAGTTTTTCCATAGAAAGCTACAAGTCTACGATCGAATCTAATTTATGTCAAACTAATTTACGTTGTTTTTTACAGAAAAAATCACGTCAAATATAATAAAATAAATTTTTAAAATAATAGTAATTTTCAAAAGGATTTTAATTCAATAAATATCTAATGATCAATGAAAAAAAAAAACATACATAATGAAAAATATAAAATATATACACGTGAATATTACATATACAAATGAAAATAGAAATCAATTGTCCTCTCGTAGCTGAGATTATACAACAGTGATTCTGAAAGCATGCGCACAAGATGACTCATCTCTTCTACTTGCCTCTGCAGCGGATATCATGCTATGCTGGTGTGCAAGATGATCCTTAACCAAATCCATGTGAATGCAAAAAATTCTCTATATATGAGAGAGCTAACCCCACCATAATATGGATGTTTTGGACTCGAAGAGGATTGACTCCAGTGAAAAATAAATCTGATTTATCCACTAAAAAAGGGTTATTACTGGAGAGTTGTGTAACCAGCTCGCACAACCTATCATCATCTTGTTGCAAGACTCTAAATTATAGTGTGCTGGAGAAACGTGATTTATTGTAAGTATCTGCTTCAATTCCTATGAGTATTTTTATTTTTTGATTCCATGACCTTAATTATCTCTGTAGGATAGTTAAATCCTCGGATATTCCCACAATCAAGGAGAAGGAAGGGACCTGTGCAGGTTTAAGACTAATCTCAAGTTAAACTATGTGACAATTATCCAACTCTGACTTCAATTACCCTCTTCAAGAATCAAACTCTTACTCTTTTAACAATTCATCTATATTGAAGTTTATATTACCACTTGAACCAACTCTCAAAATGATACACTCACGGTGATCCCCACATTTGAGCTTGTAGAACTCCAAACAAGGTTTATAATATATTAAACGTCTCTAGTGCCAAACACTTGGTGCTTTTTTATTTTATTTTTTTTCCCGGGTGGATCACTAGCTAGCTTGACTGCGTCTGCCATTAAACCTCCTTTGAGTGACCAATGATATTAAGCGGAGAAATTGCTTGACGAGGAACAGAACAATTATAAATGGTGCTATAATGGTTTTTGACTACTTGTGCATCTAATTTCAAACGATAGGCTTTTAAATAATGGTGCTATTATATCTAAGATTCCAAAAGATAAGAGGTCCGCCCAAAAAGTACATAGAGGATAATTACCAATTAATATGCTTCTTCTTCTTGATGAACTACTATCTAGAATGTTACTGTCAGTTTAAAAACTAAAGTGTATCAGAGTTTATATTTTTCATTGAAATTCCTTAAAAATAGGAAATTTATCTCGTGGAATAGAAATTTTTGGCGTAAAACATGTAGATAAAGAACCATATATTTGCATAGTTATATAATTCGGATTGGAGGTTAATCCCGTAATAAGGCCAGGTTAATGAATTAGCTGTCTGGTTGTAAGCCAAGTAACCGCGCGCCCTGAAAATATAGTAGATTATTCTTATACTGGTGTAGAAATAAGAAGTCTTATACTAATTTTTTACTATTAATTCACTTGTATTTAAGGACTTATGTAAATAAAAAATTAAAATGGTAAAATATGAATAGAATCAATGGCTAAGATTTACAATGTAAAATTACATTAGTGTAAAATGATCATATATATTTTGTCCTGCCACTAGGGATGAAATTGGGTCGGACCAGCCTACAGGGGCCTACAGCTCGGCCTACGTCAGGCCAGACCTGACCTAGTATATTTCGTAAAATAGACCAGGCTTGAGCCTTGCAAAAACTTGTTTAATAAAAAGGCCGTAGGCCTACTTTCACAAGGCATGGCCTATAAGTCTATAGGACGACCTATATTGTATTATTTATTTATAAAAAAATAAAATAGAATAAATATGCCTTGAAGAAAAAATAAAAGATATAAATTTAATCAATTGTAATTATTTACAACTTAATTATATTCCATTATATTTTAATAGAAATTTGACTTTATTTTTTATGTAGGAGGAACCAACATCTCAGCAAGTTAGATTGTGTATATGAATATATTAAAAAGTTTTTGGGAGAGGTTATACTTACTACAAGCATCATGATGTGTTTATTGAATTCATGTAGTTATTTTAATTTACATAGTATGGATTTGTTTATTGGATCTGATGAAATATATGTTATTTAGTTTGAGCATTTTGCTTTTGAAGGTGACTTAAATGCAAATTATATGAGTTTTGTTGTGATTTATGATTCTGTTTGGATGTTGAAATTATGATTTTGGTTTAGCAACAGAATTTGAGTATTTTGTAAAGTTGATTATAGTTCTGCTTGGAAGTTAAAAATTAACAGGCTAACGGGTTAGGTCAGGTCATTTATTTTTTTATAAACGGGCCAAGCCAGACTAATAGTTAGACTCGTACTAGGTTTGGGCTAGGCCAAATTGAATTTTTTTGGCGTAGGCTTGGGCTTTTCGGGGCAAAGCTTGGCCCAGCTCAACCCATTTTCATCCCTACCTGCCACCACTTATAATTATCTACTCCAGGAAGTACATATTTATAATTTTAAATTTTTTTTTTCTCTCTACATCAGCCAACAAGTTTATGAAAAGTTTCTGAAGAGAGAAAAAAAGTAACTTTAATATTATAACTATGTTAGTTATAAGGTGATGACAGAACAAAACCTTATATCGTGTGACAACACAAACAATAAATCCTATATATATATATGAGAAAAATATTTCTCAAACTGCTTGAGATTTATTTATCTCTGGTTACCTTAAAACTACGTTATTTTGTTTATTTATTTCTTTATATTAATTGATTCATCTTTGAATGATTATGATTTTCCTTTTCTCTCTTTTCCTTTATCACCATTGATCCATCTTTGTACGGTTATTATTTATCAGTCGGAAATAAAGTTATCTCAAGCAACTTGAGAAATGATAAGCCCTATATATATGATAGGCTATAAAAGAACAAGTAAAAGTATTTGAAGTGTATGTAATGATATGCTCTTTGTTTGCGACTTTCTGTTTGAGAATGCGACCATAACTTATGTCAGAGGCATCAGTTTCAACAATTTTGAAAGCATAGGTTTGAAAGGAATATGAATTCTTCGAATATATATGAGGTAGGATTCTTTTTGACACCTTATCTGAGAGCCGTTAGATAAAAAAAGATCCACGACTCTAATATGTAAGCATGTGATATCATTGATATTTTTTGATCTAATAACTCTCAGATGAGGTGTCAAACTTTAAATTTGACACCGGTGTCATAGGATCCTATTTCATATATGTATGTATATATATATATATATATATGTATGTATATATATATGAGATATGATCCTTTGACATCGGTGTCAAACTTTGAAATTTGACACTAAATCTTAACCGTTGATTTCTGCCAATCAACGGTTATCAGTTACTGGGAATCAAACTTATTATTCAACGATTATGATTTGGTGTCAAATTTCAAAGTTTGACACCAGTGTCAAAGGATCCTGCCCCTATATATATATATATATATATATATATATATATATATATATATGGGTGCTAGATTCTCAGAAGTTGAATAACGCCTAATGTTTGCTTAATCTTTGTCAGATATTATTATATTTATGAACAATAAATTAACATTAAAAATTTGTCACTTTACCGCTACCCAAAAGGTGACAAGACTCATCTAAAGTAGCGCTGGCAAAACGTGTCAGTGGGTCGGATTCATGTCGTGTCAATTCTGATTTATTGGCTAATCTATTCAACTAAAGCGCGACACATTTTTTTTCACAAGTCAAAAATTGAAACTCGAACACGATCCACCGCAGGTCGTCGGTCACATGAGTTGATATGTAAAAATTAAAATTAAAATTTTTTTCTAAAAAAAAGAAAAAATTGAATAAAATATACGAGTTAACCCGTGGCCAGCATCAGGGCATAATAAAATCACCAAAATTTCAATTTTTCTCATATTTTTTGACACAACACTAATTCATGTTATTTATCCAAATCTGTACATGATCTATTTTATTCTACAGATTGATATAACTCACATTTTGACGTCACATATCGCAGGTCAACCCGCAGATCATAACACTTCTACTATATTTTGAGTATCCTTGGGAATTAGAAATTAGATACACATAATATATTTTATTCAATTTTTTTTTTATAAATAATTAAAATTTCAATTTTTGCAGATCAACCCATATGATCTGCGACCTGCGTTGGGTCATGTTTGAGTATCAATTTTTGACCTGTGAACAAAAATATGCCGTGTTTTAGTTAAACAATTTGACCCATAGATCAGAATTGACATGACATAAATCCAACCCATCGACATGTTTTATCACCTCTACTTTAGAGTCGTGTCACCTTTTCGATAGTGGTAAAATGACAAATTTCTAATGTTAATTTATTGTTAATAAATATAATAATATCTGACAAAGATTAAGCAAACATTAGGCGTTATTCATCTTCTGAGAATCTAGCACCCATAAATAATTCATCGGAAAAGTTCCAATTGTTTTTGCTTTATGGAAATCTGCAGAGACTCGAGCGATTTTGTTGGGAAACTCTTTCACGGGCAGTTTTATTGCAAGTCACACAGGGGCTACATTCTTATTCATAATATTATTTAACAGTAGCTATTACAAAGCATAGAGCCCAACTTACCCACCAAAAGGCCTTTGGTCTCTACAATTCAAGTTGGGCCCATATGTGAGTCCAAAAATGTCACAGTACCTCTTATAAAACCCAATTCTATTACCTGAGGCATCAGTGGGACCATGTCCACATTCAATCCCACCATTGATAATGTTTGTGATCACACCGTAACCTGGGAGTCTATTAGCTGCCTTGTCAGCAGCAGACGGTGTCCACCGGTTGGTGATGACGTCATGACATGATGGCTTATTACCTTGTGGTGTCATCCAAAACCATATAGCTGTCTTGAATGATATCACAGCGTCTCTGGCTACCAGGTCTGGATTGTTTATCAAGTCCACCTTTAAGGCTTTTCCAGCTTTATCATAGTTGTAGTTGCTATTTGGTCGAAATCAATAACAACATGAGTTACCAACTAATATGACAAAAACTAATGGCATAATTATTCCAATTCATGAAACAAGAAACCTAGCTGGGTGTCCACATGTGTGTTTATGAAGCACAAGCTTTAAAAAATTGAGTTTTATATCAAATTGTCAATGTTTTGATACGAGAGAGAGATATATACTGTGTTAGTTGAATGGATCCTCGGCCATAATATGATTTGCCTGGGGCACATGCTGCTCCGGGATCACAGTATGTGTTACCCTTATTCCTTTCCGTGACAAAGCAATAACCCCAAGCATATGGCCCATCTGGGGAACTATTCGCTCCTCCTGTAAGACATCAAATGTAGCCATGTCTTATAACATGAGACGTACAAAATTGAGGACAAATAATAATAGGGAAATATGCATTTACAAATTTTTTTGCAAATTACAAACTTTCTCGGAAGTACACAATGTAACCTAGTGTACTTCTGAAAATACAAAAATTTATAAATATAACCCTTCCATAATAATAAGGCAAATTTATTTAATCAAGCTGGATATGTTAATATATAAAGAGTTGCAATCAAGTATTGTTAAGACACTAATTAAAAATATCATAATATAAGAATGATTTTTTTTTTATAATGAGGTTACTCACTAACTTTAAATATATACTAATTTTATAAAACTTTAATTGAATTGAGAACTCAAACCTTTTTTTATTTAATTTTAAATATTCTATATATAAAAAATACTTCTTAATTAACCATCATTAGCAAGACACTTTTTTATTTCTTTTGCCGATAGAAAGACCCATTTAATTAATATATACATAAGTAGTGATGATTAACCTGTGGTCTCGTGAGAGGTTTGGGCCAAGAAAGCTGCAATCTCCCTCTTACGAGTGTTAAAATCTCCAGTGGTGCCAAACCCACCGAATGATCTAGCTGCAGTGAGGAAAGCGTTGTAGGAGTAGAAACCCTTGCCCTCACATGCCCCATCGTTTCTGTGTTTCAGCAATTGCTCAAATTGAGAAGCACTTAAGACATTGCCAACATCATCTGCTGAAGTGTCCAGCACTATGAAAGCTAATGTACAGGCAAAGATAATGACTAACTTCATGTTTGGTTTTGTTTTATGATATGATGACTGAAAGTGTGTACATGTAGGTAAGACTAAGAAGGAATATAAATAGTGGCTAGTAGTGATCATGGTCTCACTCATGGTTTGCTTTTCGCTTAACTCCCGTTATCCATTTTCTCTCTTAATTATCCAAAATAATTTATTGAATATCTTTATTCAGTTAGAAAAGAGGAAAATGAGACAAGAAAAAGAGGATAACTTCATAACATGTTTGATTTCTTGATGAATAATTAGCGATGAGCAACTCCTGCCTTGTTTTGCGGGTACAAACTAGCTACCTTGTTTGATTTATCTTTGGCCTCCACGATTACATTGAATGTATAGCTTTTCTACGCGCGCGTTTGATTTTTGGTCATATATATAACACTGAATTTCTTACCATTATAGTGTAAATCCATGTCTAACTCCTAGGCGTTTGGTAGAGGATAATTTTTTTTTTATCTGAAAATTACGATTTCCAGAAATATGATGAGAAAATGAGTTTTTCGGGAAGGTTACCAAAAAGTTGTTTGGTAGAGTAATATATTTCCGAGAATATTGAGCTAATTTTCTTGATACTATGTTTAATTGTATTAAATTTTCCCTTGCCATAGAAATATTAAAATACCACCTTTCAAATGGTATTCCTGGATGGTTTTTTCAAAAAAAATTACACACAAAATAAAATTCAAGAAAAATCGGATTCCTGAATTTTTTTTGAAAATCTTATACCAAACATAGATAAGTAAGTTTATCACTTTCAGTTTCTGGGGAATTCAAAAATAATCCTCGAAACAAACGGCCCTAAGTGTGTTAATTTTTTCTCGGGAGCTAATTGATGTTGCAAGATAAAGTGACTAAAAGTAAAAGAATCAATCGCGATTTGCGAACCCACTGTAGCAATCATTCATTAAGTATCATATAATAAGAAATGTGGGAAGTACGTGGTAAACAATAAAGTTTTAAGAGGAACTCTAATTAGATACGTAAGAGAATTATGTGCTTATATTTTTTTAGTTACATTAGTTATGGCATAATATTAATATAATGATAAAATTGCACGTCTATTAAGATAAGGGGCATGAGGCAAGAGTCTTGATGTGGACGAGCTACCAGTGTCTGCAATATTAATAAATCGAGCTTAAAAAAAGGAAAAAGTGTGAGAAGCATGTAGAAAAAGAAAATGTTATCCACCGCTTGGAATTAATGAGAACATACGTTGAAAGAGACTTTTGGCTTTTATTCTGGAAATCTGGAACCTTGGAAGTTTTCTCATACCTTATCCTACACTACACGGTTTCAATTGAGAATTTGAGGAATGCAAGCCAGAAATTCAGGAGAAAACGCGGCTGCTAATTTGAGGCTACATCCTAAAGCTCACGTGGTCTACATGTCACTTCTGGTGCAAAGATAGACCTAGCTTAACCACAATTTTATTATTGTTGTTGTTATTGGGTGAAATTTTATGTGGACTCCAAATTTAAACTCTTATTTTATTAATGAAATTAACATGTGATTTTACTTAGTAATTAACTCCGAGAAATGACACGTTTAGTAAGCGGGTAATGTTCAAAAAATGGATGGTTCAATTAAGGGATCAGTCTCGTCTAATAAATAAATGAAGACATCGATCCCTGTGAAAAAAAAAATACGAGTTGTTCTCAACCTTTATTAAATGTTCAAAATATGAAAGACCCAATTCTCAAGAGCCTAAAATACCCAAGAGATCTTAACTCATGTTATTTCTATTTTGGTGAATGAGAGTCGAGTAGATAATGAAATAATTTTGGTTTGATTCCTATTAATATCATTCTTGAGAAATATAAAATCTTAATTTCTAACCCGTGTCGAACATGGGTTTAGTCTTATAATCAGCTTAAAAATTAATAAAACTTATCTAAATTGTTGGAGATCTTATTTGCTTTAAAGAAGTAATTAGGATTGCTATAAAATAAAAATTGTTTCAATTTAATGCGTAAATTGCGTCACACTGACTTTTGGAACGAAAGTTAGGATCAACACATCAGTAAACAGACAATGGCAAAGCTAGGAATGTGCGTGGGTCGAATCGAATCATATTTTTTGAAAAACCGAACCGAATTGGTTTAAATGGCTCGGTTCGGTTCAAAATTAGTTCTGTTCGGAAGTGATTCAGGTCGACCCTTTTTTAAAAAAAATTAAAAATTTATAAAATAAAGTTATAAAAATCAATTTGGTTCGGTTTAAAAACAGTTCGGTTCGGTTCGGAAATAATTCGATTCTTAAACTGATTTTAAAAACCGGTTCGGTTTATGAATTGGTTTTTCAAGAATCGATTCGATTCATGAACTGATTTTTAAAAACAGATTATTTTAAGAACGATTCATGGTTCGGTTCAATTTTTTAATTATTTTGTGCACTCGCTAAACAAAGCTACGTTATGCCAACTCACATCTCATCCACCACATAAGGAGTTAATAGGAAGTCAAAGCAGCAAAGGTTTTGACGCTTACTCACTCACTCTGAGACGTCGGTGAGTCGGTGAGTCGGTGACACAAACTCCAGAGCTGTCCCTCGTACGATATAAATACAAGTGCTTCCATGAAAGGTACGCAACTCATTCCGTAATGCTTCAGCCTACTTCCGGCATTAACTTACTTCAGCGTCAAAATGTTACCTATTCATATATATTTCCTTTGGGGTTGTGAAGAAACACGATTACACCATCAAAGTAGCCTTATTAATATCCGCAATTCAGCCCAGATTTATTAATGGACTACTCCCAGCTCAAAATTCCTGAACTAATCAAAAGTATTAAATGAAGTCAATAATTTTCTTTTTACAAAATATACTGCCATCGATCGAGACGGGCATTTGTAACCTGATGTACTATGCATGTTCAATTGATAAAATAATTACACACATATATATAATGAGGGATATTCTCACTATTAAAATTTCTCACTACCAACTTACTACCTATCTAATCACCATTACATTAATATTTTCTCTCTCTTCAATTTTTTTTTAACATTCTCTATCTTTGATCCAATGATGATGTGATGGATAGTAAGTTAGTAGTGAGAATTTTTAGTAGTTAGAATATCCTTACTCATATATATATATATATATATATATATATATATATATATATAGGAGAGAGATCATTTGACTCCAGAGCTATGTAGCACCGATACCGACACGCGACACGACACGACACGACACTCCGACACGTTAGTTCTAAAAAACGTTAGATTTCGACATGTTATGACACGTTTTGATATTAAATAATATTTTTAATTTATGTAGTGTATATTATATTTAATATTCAATAATTTAACAAAAAAATAAAGTTAAACTTATATTACCCATCAATTTTACAAAGAAACATAAGATATTCCAAATATTTATATTAAACTCAATAAAATGGTAATAGTAATCCAACGAATCTAATAGTTGGAATTAAAAACGTAACACAACGCAACTTTTGAACCATTTTTTGAGATTCTACAACGCGTGTTGGAGAGTCGGAGTGTCGAAGAGTGTCGAGAAGTGTCGGACACGACACGTCAGGGTTTTTGAAGTGTCGGTGCTTCATAGCTCCAGAGTAAGACTTGTAAGTCTTACTCCCCATCATAGCCGTTGATTTCCGTCCATCCAACGTGGTTATAGTTTAGGAAGTTATAATAATTAATTAGTTATTAATTACACTATAAATGACAACCGTTGATTTTCTGTCCATATATCGATATGTGTGTCATTCTTTTTTTCTTCTTCTCTCTCCTATTAGGCCCCACTTCAAGTTAAGTGTGTAGGAGACAAACATTTGCTGCTGTTGCTTTTATCCTTTGTAACTGGCTAGTGTAGAGGATATCACATTTGCTTCTGTTTTTGTTCTTTTGTTTTGTTTTCCATCAAGTGGTTATATATATAAGGAGATGAATTTCTCCTATCGCTGAAGAAAATCATCTCGAGCTACCCTCGTAAGATTTTTTTTAAGTTTATTATTTATTTATTTATTTAAAGATTGTGGGACCTATTATATTGATGAATGTGGAGGAGAACAATCTCTCCTATAGCAGGAGAGCCTATTTCCCCATATATATATATATATGAAGTAAGATCTTTTGACACCAGTGTCATATTTAAAATTTGACACCTCATCTGAGAGCCATTAGATAAAAAAAGATCAATGGTGTCACATGCTTACAAATCAGAGTCGTTGTTCTTTTTTGATCTAATGGCTCTCAGATGAGGTGTCAAATTTTAAAATTTACACTGGTGTCAAAGGATCCTACCTCTCTCTCTATATATATATATATATATGTAAACTCAAATCCTCTATATATATATATATATATATATATATATATATATATATATAATAAACTCAAATCACGTAATTGAATAGTTACTTTTTCGAATAAAAATCTAACTAACTAATGATTACTTAAACTTGAATTTTTGATATATATAGACTCAAATCACGTAATTGAATCGTTACTTTTTCGAATAAAAAACTAACAAACTAATGATTACTTAACTAGAATTTTTGTACGTGGCTATATATATATATATATATATATATATATATATAGATAAGATCCTTTGATATTGATGTCAAATTTGACACCTCATTTGAGCCGTTAGATCAAAAAAGATCAATGGTGTCACATGTCATTATTATCGACGGAAAAAATATCGTTGAAATTATTGACGAAATTTTCTACGGAATCTGTTTCCGTCAAAAATTTCGACGAAATATAGATTTCGTCAAAAAATTTCGACAAAAAATGATTTCCGTTGAAAACTTTTGAAAAATATAAAAGAAAAAGAAAATATATTTTTTGGACTTTTCGACGGAATTTGGATTTCGTCGAAAACTTTTGAAAAAAATAAAAGATAAAGGAATTATATTTTGTGAACTTTTCGACGGAATTTTGATTCCATCAAAGATTTTCGACAGAAAATGAATTCTGTCGAAAATTTTTGAAAAAATAAAAGGAAAAGAAAATATATTTTTTGGACTTTTCAACGGA